TATATATATATATATATATATATAGCATAGTCTGTTCTCATCTGCCTCAGCCTGTTCATATCTATATTTAAAACTTAATTTTAACATAAAACTGTTACTTTCTTTTTCCTGAATAATAATAATAATAATAATAATAAAAATAAAATTAACAGTTGCTTTCCCTTCACCGTTTTTTGTACCGCGAATTTATTTTTTCTGCTTCTCTTATTCAATCCTTCCCTTTCCATCTCATTTTGTCCAGTTCTGTCGTGCAGCAAATCGCTTTACTGAAATGACGCACTAATGCCACGCCCACTATCAGCAAAGGATGTTTCCATTTCGTTACGGACAGGTTTTCTTGATATAACTGAAAGAAAAATATTAAGGCATATCTATTTTTTCTTTGATGTAAAAACATTGAAATATTTCCTTGATTCAAATAAGTCGTCTCTTCTTCCTCAAACTCTGAGTGACTTCTGAACGTGTCTAATTTTTCATTTTTCTTTTTTTCTTTTTTTTATGCGGGGGTGGTGACAAAGGAGGGAGGACGAAATTAACCATCAATTGTAAGATCTCCAAGATGCGAACCAACAACTGAAGACACTAAAATCAGTATATATCTTCTTTCTTTTTCATTTCACGCCAAGCAAGACGACAATGCTACTAAGACGCAAAAGGGAGCTACTGAGAATGAAAGAGAAGACTTTAGAAGGAACAGGATACCCATTCCTAAACAGGAAACAAGGGATAAGCCTCTACTCCTTTTCAAAATAACGAGGAGGAGTGTAAACCGGACGATAGGCAAACCTATCTACGCCTATTACTATCTACGAGAGATTTTAACTGAATTCAGAAAATGTGACATCGAATTCCGAACTCAGATTAGAGTAACGAAAGATGCTTTCCAAAAACTAAGCAAACTATGAAGAAACAGAAAAAAAGCTGTTACAAACAAAGAAAGTAGAAGTGAATTGCTATGTAATATCAATCCTCCGATATGACAGTGATTTTTGGACAATGCGTCCATAGACGAAGAGTAGACTGGTGACAAGAGAAATGATATACTACAGAAGGATGCTGACAATGTTAGGGACGGATTACATAAAAAAAGAAGAAATCTGAAGGAAAATGTAAGCAAAAAGAAGTTGCATTCTCAGAAACAGAAAGAGGTAGCTGAAATCACACAACGAGGAATGTGGGGGGGGTGTTGGGATAATTTGATATTCACCGGACATATCAAGGGCAAAAACGAGAAAGGTGGAGGCAGTGGACCACTAGTTTCCGGCAGTGAACGGAGTGTTGGTACACATAGTGAAGATTTACAAAAAGTTTCAAAGGATAGGATGTTGTGGAGAGTCATGATCGTCTACGTCTTTTATAAAGAAACAGAAATATTTCATTAGAAGCAAATAGAAAACTACTGAACTGTTATGTAATATCAGTCCTCCTCTAAGGCATTGAATTCTGGACAATGTCCTCACAGATGAATAAGAGACTTGAAGCAACAGAAACAAAGAAAAGAGTACTGAACTGTTACGTAATATCAGTCCTTCTATATGGCAGTGAATGCTGGACAATCTCTTCACAGATGAAGAAGAGACTTGAAGCAACAGAAACAAAGAAAAGAGTACTGAACTGTTATGTAATATCAGTCCTCCTCTAAGGCATTGAATTCTGGACAATGTCCTCACAGATGAATAAGAGACTTGAAGCAACAGAAACAAAAAAAAAGAGTACTGAACTGTTACGTAATATCAGTCCTTCTATATGGCAGTGAATGCTGGACAATCTCTTCACAGATGAAGAAGAGACTTGAAGCAACAGAAACAAAGAAAAGAGTACTGAACTGTTATGTAATATCAGTCCTCCTCTAAGGCATTGAATTCTGGACAATGTCCTCACAGATGAATAAGAGACTTGAAGCAACAGAAACAAAGAAAAGAGTACTGAACCGTTACGTAATATCAGTCCTTCTATATGGCAGTGAATGCTGGACAATCTCTTCACAGATGAAGAAGAGACTTGAAGCAACAGAAACAAAGAAAAGAGTACTGAAGCGTTACGTAATATCAGTCCTTCTATATGGCAGTGAATGCTGGACAATCTCTTCACAGATGAAGAAGAGACTTGAAGCAACAGAAACAAAGAAAAGAGTACTGAACTGTTACGTAATATCAGTCCTTCTATATGGCAGTGAATGCTGGACAATCTCTTCACAGATGAAGAAGAGACTTGAAGCAACAGAAACAAAGAAAAGAGTACTGAACTGTTATGTAATATCAGTCCTCCTCTAAGGCATTGAATTCTGGACAATGTCCTCACAGATGAATAAGAGACTTGAAGCAACAGAAACAAAGAAAAGAGTACTGAACTGTTACGTAATATCAGTCCTTCTATATGGCAGTGAATGCTGGACAATCTCTTCACAGATGAAGAAGAGACTTGAAGCAACAGAAACAAAGAAAAGAGTACTGAACTGTTATGTAATATCAGTCCTCCTCTAAGGCATTGAATTCTGGACAATGTCCTCACAGATGAATAAGAGACTTGAAGCAACAGAAACAAAGAAAAGAGTACTGAACCGTTACGTAATATCAGTCCTTCTATATGGCAGTGAATGCTGGACAATCTCTTCACAGATGAAGAAGAGACTTGAAGCAACAGAAACAAAGAAAAGAGTACTGAACCGTTACGTAATATCAGTCCTTCTATATGGCAGTGAATGCTGGACAATCTCTTCACAGATGAAGAAGAGACTTGAAACAACAGAAACAAAGAAAAGAGTACTGAACTGTTATGTAATATCAGTCCTCCTCTAAGGCATTGAATTCTGGACAATGTCCTCACAGATGAATAAGAGACTTGAAGCAACAGAAACAAAAGAAAAGAGTACTGAACTGTTACGTAATATCAGTCCTTCTATATGGCAGTGAATGCTGGACAATCTCTTCACAGATGAAGAAGAGACTTGAAGCAACAGAAACAAAGAAAAGAGTACTGAACTGTTATGTAACATCAGTCCTCCCTAAGGCATTGAATTCTGGACAATGTCCTCACAGATGAAGAAGAGACTTGAAGCAACAGAAACAAAGAAAAGAGTACTGAACTGTTACGTAATATCAGTCCTTCTATATGGCAGTGAATGCTGGACAATCTCTTCACAGATGAAGAAGAGACTTGAAGCAACAGAAACAAAGAAAAGAGTACTGAACTGTTATGTAATATCAGTCCTCCTCTAAGGCATTGAATTCTGGACAATGTCCTCACAGATGAAGAAGAGACTTGAAGCAACAGAAACAAAGAAAAGAGTACTGAACTGTTATGTAATATCAGTCCTTCTCTAAGGCATTGAATTCTGGACAATCTCCTCACAGATGAAGAAGAGACCTGAAGCAACGAAAATGTTTACATTATTTAGAGTGCTGCCCTCATCTTTACTGACATATTCATGGCGTTTCGACCGTTGTACGCTCCAGCCCACTTCAGATGATTAGAATTTCGGGTGTCTCAGTTATCTCCTTTTAACTCAAAATCACCAAGTTTTTGTTCACCACTGCAGTAACTAGGTATTGAACTCTCAACTCTTTGGGTCAAGACACTGGATCCAACCAACGCTTTTATCCACTGGGCCATGTGTCCTTAAAGGGGGATGACTGAGACATTTAAGTCTTGTAAGTAACCAAGTGACTTGACATGGAGTAATGGTTAAAGAGCTAGTCTGTTTGATCATTATTACTGAGTTGTAAATTGGATCCAAACTGAGTGTCTCATAATGCTGGCAATGTGCTTAAAGTAAGCAAGAATTCCTTAATAATTGGTGCCTTGGTGTAGGGTAATGGTTAACAAGCTAGTTTGGTAGATCATTACAAATAAACAATGAGTTAGATCCCGACTGCGTATCCTTTAATTAAGTGGACATTAAATAAACCATAAGGATATGATATGTCGTTAAACAAACAAATTAATCAATCATTCATAATTGAGGCCTTGAGCCATACTACGGTAGGCGTATAACAATTTCGATAAAGGAAAGGTTTTCACAAAGGACGGATATTTGACACCGAAATCCGAAAGCGCATTGTAATAGCGGAAAGTGTTTTCTAAAGGCTAAGCAAATTATTGAGGATGTTCCTCGGTTGGTAACTGTCTGGAGTTTGTGGGCTTGGTCTCGTTTAACCGCCAAGTTTCACCAACTAGTGTCTCAGGAACATCCTCAATATTAGGTGTCGGAAGTCTTCTCCAATGATCAACTGTGGGACAGGACAAGAGAAGCCCCAATCGAGACTGACATCAAGAAACGGAAATGGGGATGGATTGGCCACGCACTCCACAAGCCTGCTACTAGTGTCACCAGGCAGGACCTTGACTGGAATCCACAAAGGGAAGTTGTCTCCATCGACCATCTGTGGGACAGGGCGAGACAAACCCCAATGGAGATGGACATCAAGAAACGGAAATGGGGATGGATTGGCCACACACTCCGCAAGCCTGCTTCTAGTGTCACCAGGCAGACCCCTGACTGTGATCCACAAGGGAAGTCGTCTCCATCGACCATCTGTGGGACAGTACCAGACAAGCCCCAATGGAGATGGACATCAAGAAACGGAAATGGGGATGGATTGGCCACACACTCCGCAAGCCTGCTTCTAGTGTCACCAGGCAGGCCCCTGACTGGGATCCACAAGGGTAGCGAAAAGTGGGTAGAAGAAAAAACAGTCTTGGCGCAGAAGTGCTGACGCAAAGGTGAAGGCAGCCGGCACGACATGGGCCAAGCTGAAGAGGTTCGCTCGGAATTTCCGCGTCCGATGGAGAGGTTTTATTGCGGCCTTATGTTCCCCAAGGGATCAAGTGGCATAATAAGAAAATTATTATGAAACGGGAAAATTTGGTTAGAAACAATGAAAATGATACGGAACTGTTGTCTAATATCGGTTCTTCAGTAAATA